TCATCAAGTCATCTCCATGTCATGTTTTTGTTCTGCTCAGCAATTAAACCAGGTGATTTCAATCAGCACAGTGAATTAACCTGGTTCAGTTGCTGAGCAGAACAAAAGCATGACACGGAGATGACTTGTTGATGCCACAATGTCACACCTCTGGTATTTACAGTTTGCCGATGGTCAAAAAAAAGCACAAAAAGAAAAAGAAGTTTGCTTTCTCTGTTGGCATCATGGTGAGGCCTGGAAGTAAAAGTAAGAGAGTAATCTTTAGCCTTTTTTACAAGACACACCATGCCATCAAATCAGCGTAATATTACCACAGCAACGTGTCTAATAAACCATGTGGTAATGGCGATACGCAAATTTTGTGGCATTCGTTCCGCCTCACTTGGTAGTAAAATTGCGCCTTGACGCAACTGAGGGAGGTGTCATGATCACGTGGGGAGTTACTGCCGAGCTCCAACCGGCAACCACACTGAAAATTAAAGTAATAATGAGCCGTAACTTTCGCATTTGTAAACAGAATCAACTGAGATGATAATCTGGACCAATGCAGGGCTCCTCATTGGTCATATCACCGGAGACTGCACGGGGACTGTGGGGAACAGACACCTTTGGGCTCAGCTTGTTAAAAATGAGCACGGCTTTGCAATAAAAAGCAAGTTTTGTCCAAGATGAACCGACGTCCGCGGCCGTTCAGAGACCACCCCCCGTAACCCCTTTATGACGCCATCGCATAATCTTTTGTAAAAAGGACATTTTTGAAATATATTACCGCCAGAGTCTGACCACTTATAAATGACTTAAGGCTCCCTAGTACCACTTCAGCATTGTAAAACAGCTTTTGGAGGCAAAGCAAAGAACTAAAACCCGAGTAAACATCTCATCAACATTGGCGTGACTTACACTAGTTTAAGGGAGCTAAAGAATGCGACAAAATCACAAACTGATGGTGACCTGGCTTTGTTGCTACTGGAATGTAAGTAATAATATTTTTTGTCGAACAGTGTGGAACTTTTTACTTTGTGGTCTATTTCAGTATCTGTTGGCTGTGTTAGCTCATTGTTAGTATTAGCAACAGTTGTTGTTTACAACTGTTGTAATTTCACTTTCAACCAGTAGGGCGGAGGAGCAGGAAACTTCTAAGTGTTACTTTTTAAATCCTTCATCAGATTGAAGTGCAATATCAAAGCTGATATTAATGAAACCAGCTAGACTTGTAAAAGAAGTATTTGAAGTTTGAAAACTATAAGCTGAATTTAAAATTAAGAAGTAAACTTGTTTTTAAATGTATATGCACCATTATGACCAGCTGCTTTACTTTTTGTGACATCTAAATTATTTTGGGGGAAAAAACTTTTCTAAAATTATTATTTTCAGGTGAAATTAGATTTTTTAATGAGTTTCCTAATGTTCTCCACACTATCAGAAATTCATTGTATTAACTCCAATCATTCCGGTCAGTCTGTTATGACAGAAACATGGGGGGGGGGGGGGGGGTGTTACCAACTGTATTAGTCTTTGTGGTTTATTTTACATTGTTTATCAAAATCTCAGGACACCAAGTCAATTAGCACTGTACTTTGGAGACAAATGCATGCAGCATTAACATCTCAAAGTAAACAGAAAAAAACACACACTTCTAAATCCTACCTCTCTCCCAGAGGAACGACACAGTTGGGTCTGATCAATACAGCTTTTAGCTTTAGGTTTCACTTTCCTCATAATATTATTGCTGTGGAGAAGCAAATTAAACTACACATCACAATTATGTGTTAACCTTTATCAATATATATTGGTTTTTAAATCAGGAGGTATACAAACGTTTAATGCCTCTGAACTTGTAAGAATTGATTTCTGACAGTTGAGTCATTAATCATCATCCTGCCACTGTAAATAGACAAACGTCAATTACTCTGATTCTTTTTTTAAATAACAGAATGATGCATCTTTATCTAAAGTTTAGACTCAGATTGTTTCTGCCATTTTGACTCTTAAGTTCAATCAAACTCCTTCTGCCCTTCAACCCTCCATCAACCCCCACTCATCCTGCATATTTTTTTTCATCTTCTTTTTTAATGCCCCTCTCTTTCTCTAATAACAGGATGTCTGTGTTTTCTCTCGTGATCGCTGACCTCCGTAGCAAAGTGCCGAGCAGCTTGCAGCTCTAAGTAATTCCTGGTGCCTGCACTTGTCTCTCATCAGCAACCATGGATGAAACTATAAGTGGGGTCTTCTGTGCTTCCATGCATGTTTTTCTTGGACTAAAGGAGGGGAAAAGATTTTTATAAGTGAAACAAGACTTGTGCCTCCACTTTGTGCTGATGGGATTTAGAGAAGTTTGAGGAATGGGGTAGTGGCTATAGAGGTAGAGTGGGTTGGGCAAGACACTTAACCTGCAGTTCCTCTGTAGGTGCTTGTCAGAGGGGCTGATGGTGCAAAACGGCAGCTGTACCTCTGTCACACTTCGCCAGGTCAGTTTGTGACTTCCGTGTACATTTACAATAGCCACTACAGTGTGAGTGGGTGAGTGAGGAGTGAGTGAGTCTAATTTTTCCTAAATGTATCCTTCATTACTATAATAATGTTGCAACCTGAAACTGTTGCTACTCTGCTGTTAAAGAAAGACAAACCCATAATCATCACTAGGGTTGGGCACATCGACATATAAATATTGGACAATGGGTTTCCATAGACTCCAATAACACATTTTTGAAGATAAATGGGAGGTAGCCACCACCGCCATTTTGACCGTGTCACAGGTTCCGTCAAGCCCAGACAATTCCACAAAAGGGAAGAGAGTGTGACTGTAAGGCTGGGATCAACTGACGACACCCGGTCGAACTAGCTACAAGCTAACCTGAAGCTAACCCAAAGCTAACGCGGAGGTGGGAGCTAAGCTAACGGAGGTAGCAACCTAGCTACAACCGGAGTTACACCAGAGCTTCTGAGTCAGAGATACGCCGGGCTGATCGCTGGGTAAAACCGAGTGGAACACAGAGGTCTCCGAGAGCTCCACAAGCTGGCAGCCGCACAGCAGACAAGCGCCGCTGCGATCTGAGAAGCGCTGAGCTGCCGCTGAGGAGAACCGGGTGGAAAGGTTTCCATCCCAGAGCTCCACAAGCCAGCAGCCCGCGCAGCAGACAGAAGCCGCGATCGGACAGAGATGCACCGAGCTGCTGGGAGGGGAGAACCGGGTGGAAAACAGAGGTCTCCCGAGAGCTCCACAAGCCGATAGTTGGAACCCAGCTCCACCAACATGTTTCAACCCATTTTCTGAAGTGCAGCATTATGTTAAATGCACTGGGTTTTACCCTATTACATTTAAATTTCATGGTTAAACAGTACATGTTAAAATCTAAGCTCAGCTCGGCAGTGACCTAAAATACATAAATATAATTTTACTTACCGAAATAAATGAAGTGGAGACTCCTTGGATGCTCTATTAGTGCAATTAATGCCACAGCAAGTCATTTTGTCCAACAATTGCACAAATAATATCCAAAAAAGAATACACAAACACAGAGACTCAAAATCCCGGAGCAGTTTCCAAGCCAGACCGAGGCTCTACTGAGGCCCTTCCAAGGAGCTAGTTCTGTGGTCACGTGGGTCAGATGTTCATTAATGATACAGAATTTTAGGCTTTTAATACACTTAAACGGAAGAGTGAGTAAAAAAATCACCCCCCTCAGAGTTGTCATGAGTGTAAACTAGATCATTTAAACCAAAAACATGTTTATTTCTGCTGTGGAATTGGTATTTTTAACATGGGAGTCAATGAGGATTTGCTCGCTTCTGGCACCACCCCCCAGCGGATGAGGGTGGAACTGCAATTTTTGTCACTTGCGCATTGGCCTCAATTTTTCACCCGCATTGTGGGGGCTTGGTTGGGCATCGAGAATCGAGCATGATTGTAACCGGTTCCAAATGTTTATTTTTACCGGAATCGGTCAATGTTTTTTATTTCGATTCCTAGAATGCCGACGGACGAGGAATCCGCGGCCGATCTCCATGAAAAATAAAATTAACAAGTGGGAGGCACATATGCAAACTGTTGTAATACCTACACCGTTCACCTGATTTGGATGCAAATACCCTCAAATAAAAGCTGACAGTCTGCAGTTAAAGCACATCTTGTTAATTTCATTTGATGTCCGTTGTGGTGGTGTATAGAGCCAAAAATGTTAGCATTGTGTCGATGTCCCAATATTTATGGACCTGACTGTACACGCATCTTCCTTTTTTAAATACATAATATATTGACATGGGCGAAATGACATCAGTAGACAAACATTTTGGTATCTATACATTTTCTGTATTCTGGAAGAATGTCTTCTGGACAGATGAGTCACATCTGGATCTTTATGGCAAAACCATCTGCTCTAGGTTGACAGACAAAAAACTCAAGAACACAAAAAAACACTGATGCTAATGTGAAACATGGAGGTGGCTGAGCTCTGCTTGAGAGCTTGTTTGATGCATCTGGAACAGGGTGTCCTAAATCTGTTTGGGTCCAATGAAATAGAGACTTTCAAGGTATTCCTGATTGGGATGTGCTGCTAAGTGTCAGACAGATTGATTCATCCAACTGGATAACGACCCAAACAGCCCAGCTAAAAAGACCCCAAAACAGCCAAAAAACAAAACAATGGACTAATCTGAAGTTATCCTAATCTAAATCCCACTGAACATCTGCGAAAGAGCCAAAACATCTGGACAGGGAACCCTCCAGACATGAGACAGCTGGAGCAGTTTGATCACTAAGACTGGGTCTGACAACAGGTGCAAATATAATTTCAGGGGTAGTTTTGTTCATTATTTTTATTCTGATCCACCACAGTTAAAATGTAAAATCTGATTTTCATTGGTTGATTCTCTCTACAACTTTACCAATATTACTTATTGGATTTTTTTCAGAGACCATTGTGGCTTTTTACAATTGTATCCACATCTGTGTAAAACGCACACACTCACACCCTTTTCCCTCTCACAAATGTAGTCATTACCTTTCAGAAGTCCTCACACACTGCTCCTTTTCAGTTTGTTAATATGCAGCAAATAGAGTCCTCCTGGATTGGCTGGGCACACTTCCTGCAATTATAAGAGAGGAAATGGGGTGAGGGGTCACAGCTTGCTAAGTTTAGCCCCACGGAGAGGCTCTGACTCACTATCTACCAAGATGATGATTGTGTGTTTTATGGATAAGTCAATGAGGAGTGAGCTCCTCCTAAAACTCACTCCTGTAACTATATTTTTATTCATCCAAGCCCCCTTCTGAAAATGTGTTTTGGTTTCTGACAGTTTCAATCAATGGAATTCAAAGTTTTCTGTATAATGGTGGGTCCGATTTACAGTAAATGAGTTTATGAAAACTCCACCTCACAGGGGCATTCAACAGACATGACCTCCTTTGAGCCGTCACCAAAACTGACCTAAGAACACACACATGTTGCATTCAGAACCAAGGCGCCCAACACACTGAAACATTTGAGGCAGGAGTCTGCGGTAGACCACAAAGAGCTTCCTTGCCAGGCACCCTTCACTTGACGTGCCATCCTAATAGTGTGCGCTGAAGGCTGGGCGTTAACCCCAGCCAGTGGCAGCATCAGGACAAGAAGTGGGTGGCGGAGTATTTGCTCGCCCCATGTTTAATATTGGCCAATAAATCCCCACTAGGTGCGTCTAGAAGCTGCTCTGTTCTTCAGGGTTTTAGTCCACACATCAGACCTGAGTGAGGTGCAGCAGGTGATGTGGGCTCTGGTTTATTTAAATGATAAATATGAAAAATTGTTCCAAAATGAAAGTTGAACCTACATCTTATTTATCTGTGAATTCAATGCCGTTCAGCGAGTCTCAAATAAAAATTTGGGCATCTTACTGTAAAACAATATACCATTAATGTAAAAAAGAAACTCTAAATGAACTATGTTCACATCCAGAAGCGAACTTGGGTCTCCTGCACGAAAGTCCGACATCTAACTAGGTGAGCTAAAGCACCAGTGATGTCTTTGGTATCTGTAATATTTATATCCTTGATTACAGCTAAAACAACATTCAAAGAACGGTTCGGAGCGAAACTGGCTATTTTGTTGCTAATTTGCAGGAAGTATCTAGAAGAAAGTAGCTAAGGGTCCTCAGAAATGTAGCTAGGTTCATCACTAGGAGTTAGGAACAGCGACAAAGTCGCTGAGTTGGCACTACCTCACTCTCTGCTGCCAAAGCTACAGATAGTAAATGCTACTGGTGATGCCTGAGCATGAACGAGCATGAAGCAGCCTGCTCGACCCGAGCAGCTCTCTTTTTCTGTGATTTTACAGAAAAACAGGCAATCACAGTAAAAATGCCAGGGCTCATTCTACAGGACCAGGGGATTGCAGGAGAATGTATGAAGAAATTTATTTCTATACATGTTTTGGCTGTCAAACTTCCATAATGCCCCTTTAACATAAAACAAGATTTTTGTTTAAATCATGGATTCAACAAGGTCCAGCTACTGCACACTTAAAGGCAGAGCAAAGTCCCAGCACGAAATCAAAGCCTGACAAGTGATAACGGTAATGAGAAAATCTGATCAATCCAAGAGAATTAAGTTTACATTTAGCAGCTGGGCTCATATCACGTGATCTTCGTCTCCTCTGCTAGAGCTGGCTCAGTTTGCCATCCAGCCAAATTGATAACTTCATTTTTTATATCAGTAAGATTAGGTCGTGGAAAAATAAAGTCTGAACTGTTGCAGAGGATAATTCAGCATGGTGAAATCTGAGGAGCAGCAAAAAACGCTCCAAGACCGCATATGCATAGTTTGAGATGTATTTGGATAAAACAAGGCTACTTACAACTATAGCATGAAGCTTAGAAGCAAAATAACGCATCAATGACTCTCGTTAATGTCAGTGTAACAGAAATCATCCCAGACTTCATTAATAACACCGTCTGGAGTCCCGCTGACCGTCTGCAGCTGAATCCTAATTAAACCGGAGCTTTTCCTGACCGAAAACCTTCACGCTGACCGGCGCTCGAGTCTCGTTCCTTACCGCTTCACAAACTGCTCCCGGTTTCTTTACAACTCCTCGTTTTTCCGCAGCGTGTTCTCCTGTTTTGCAGCAGTTTTCCTAACTGTGGACTACCTCTGTTTACAGACTCGTAGCGTCCCTCTCGCGCGCGCGCACAACTCCTAGCTCTATACTCTAGCTGTGCACGTGTGCAAACTCGGCGCGTGAGGTTATTTTTTTGTTTGTTTGACATCAACACACCTCAAGCTCTGATTTGTATGACTTCAGATACTAAATAACAAATGACAGCTCCTAAACGTATGAGCAGCTAAAGTGGAGGCGATATATTAGTAAATCCATTTTAGTCCAGCACCATGTTTGTTGAGAATGCAACCTTAAGATTGTCCAATTATGACATATAGTTCATCAGTTTGAAAAAAACAAAACAAACAGAATGGCAAACTTTGGTAACAGCATAAAATATTAGGGGCACCGAAAAGGAAAAATGTCAAGATTAAGGTCAAAGCATAAAGAAAAACGTCCACAAGCGATTTCCATGATAAAGTAGGCCTACGGAAGGGGGGACTAAACGATGCAATATTTAACAAACAGGAGAGTATGCCCAATGAGCATCCCACAGTTCGTACCCATATAAATATATTCCATCAATCTTTATTTGTTTTGAGGGTTATGGATGTCTTTTTAAGCCTATTGTTAGCGACATCCTTAAGTTCTTCATAGTATGAGTATAGTACATTTACCTGAAAACATTTAAAAAGTTTATCAGTATTATTCTGGTGTGTGTGTGTGTGTGTGTGTGTGTGTGTGTGTGTGTGTGTGTGTGTGTGTGTGTGTGTGTGTGTAAAGAGTTGATTTATAATTTTATGGTTTCTTTTTCTGAATTAAGCTGAGCTCCGTTAGATATGCATCAGAAACCGCCTTTGAGGCCTTTTCATATCCATTAACTGGATATGAGGAAAGTATTAGGAAGTTTTGTTCAACAAGCATTACCTTGTAGAGGGCATGTGTCTTTTTTTAAGTTATAATAGTTCTATCCATTATATAAAACATGCTCATGAAGTTTATTGGACTAAATCCCTCTTGCATAAAGCAATTTAAACGGTTTTAGTCAACAGTTTCAGTACCTTCCAGAATGAACTGTCATTTTAAGAAAAAAAAGCTGTACCCAGCCACGCCCACTCCTCTTCCACTCAGGCTGCTATTAGCTGAGAAGCTCTGATAGCTGGGAGAGGCTTAAAGTAGAGCTGGTGCTCCTACAGTAGCTCTCTTACATGGGAGAGGTGGTTCCATTTGAATTTTCCCATTTGTGATGTCACAAAAAGGGAATTATGAAACAGATTGTTTTAGGCATGAAAATCCTAAAATCTACCACTTTTTGGAGTGTTTATAGAGGGTGTAGAGACCCACGTGGCAGTAAAAAATGATGCAAAACATGTCTTACATAACATACCCCCTTTAAAAGTCAGTCAGAATGAGGAACATCCACATGATTTATGAGTCAATAACGAGGTAATGCTCTACCCTGATCAATACGACACCCCAGCAGCATCCAGGAGACCTGTTGGACACTTAGTGCAGACTGACTGGACTTTCTCTGCACAAACATGTGACGCAAACCTAGGTTGTGTACCATAAGTGCTAATACTTTTTAACACCCCCTCAGGCTGACATGCCTATTGAAACTGAAATACTAAAAAAAATAAATGTTTTTAATCAAACTATTAAATATTCTAATGCTGTGGATCCATACACAGACATTTCGTAGCAGTGCATGGAAGGACTGCAATCCAGTGTGGTAGCTTAAATGCAAATATACCATCATTGTCCACACACAGCTTTTGAATAGCTGTCCATTTTTTTTTTTTACTTTTTAGTATTTAAACTTGTTTAAAACAAACATTCACTTTATTAAAACTGCTTTATATTTATTGAGCAAATTCCACCATAATTACAAAAGCACAAAAGCCCTGATGAGAAGATCATGGCATAGTCAGTGTAAGTACAAGTGTTTAATGTTCTCAGTGGGAAAATTGTTTCATATTTGAAAAAAAAACAAGACACCAATACCAAGAGCTAGCTTAAAATGCTTTTACAAGCTGATATGAAAAACAAACTAAACTGTGTGTCAATACTTGATGTGTTTTGTCATTTTTGAACATTTTCAAATACATTTCTATTACACGTTAACTACTGTGGTCGTCTAACAAATACAACTTTAGAACAATTGAAATACAATACTATTCATGACATTTTGTTACTAGATTGTGTTCCTTGCATACAAATAAATATGATTTCCTCATTGTTAAATATTCCTGAAGTCTAAATCTTCCACTGGTTTCATTAATGAGAGCATTTACAACCCCCACCACCCCGGTGGTTCAGTAGGTCACTGCAGTGAGCTTCCCAGTTCTGATGAAGGAACGGGACAAACCTCTAAAAGCCCCTAATGTCTACTGAAATCTACTTGCAGAAGCACTAGCCGTGCACCCAAATGTACTCAAACTGAGATAACGAGCAAAATAATGACTTAGAAAAAAAGAACAGCAAACAGACGAGAGGTTTGAACAAAATAAAAGCTTAAATTGGCTAAATTGATCAGTTGTTATTCTATCAGTATGCATCAACTGATAAACCAGATAATTGTAGCTCTGAAAATATATTACATCCAATAAATTCCTGCACACTGGCGTTGTGGTCCTATTGTATTATTGTCATTAGAGGTTGACGGTGTGGGCATGTTTCTTGCACAAAGGCTTGTCCTTTTTAGAGAAGAAAGCCTGTCCCTCCAGACTGGTGGAGCAGACCTGAAGAGAGAGCCAAACAAATTAGAGTTGTTAAACAGTCCAAGAAGTATTTACCCACTTGTTGCTGAGTGCAATGGTCTCCAGGACCTACCGCACACACGAAACAGGTGTCATGCCAGGTGAATCCCAGAGCTTCCAGGAACTTGTCTCCTGCCTCGATGGGGAAGTCGCAGCCGTGGCAATTGGTCCCGAATAGGTTATAGTAGTCTATTTAATTAGAACATGAACAAAATATTAATCTGTTTGCATAAAACACAAAGCTTAGCCTGGCTCTGGGTTACCTCTTTCACAGTATGGCTGCCCGTCCTCCATGTGGAACATACTCCCTCTGATTGGCTGGTGGCAGGCAGCGCAGACAAAACAGGACACATGCCAGGTCTGTTTCAGGGCGTTCATGATTTCCTGCAGGGAAAATGGGTGAAAATTAAATGCTATGCAGCATTACTCAGTTTAAAACTTAAAAATGCTGTAGACATAAAAGTGGTTGTAAAGTTAAGGTATGCGTTGTTTAAAACAGCTAAATGGGACTCCACAGTAACGCCAGCCATTGTTTTTATACAGTGGAGCAAAAAAAGTATTTGGCAGCCACAAACTGTGGAAGGTTTCCTCCTTGGACAATATGAGATGTCTGTAATTTACATCATAGGTACACTTCAAACGTGAGAGACAGACTGTAAAAAGAAATACAGGAAATTAAACTATGATTTTTTTTATGATTTGTTTCATGGTGCAAAGAATAAATATTTAGTAAATACAAAAAAGCAAGTATTCTGGCACTCACAGATGTGTTCTTTAAGTCGTTCTATCCTCCACCTGTTAACTGTATTAATGGCACCTGTTCAGACTTGATATTTGTTTAAAAGACACCTGCTGACGCCTTCAAAAAGACAGATTCCAGCCTCCACCCTAAGGAGGTTGGCTAAGGACACTAAGGACAAGATTGTAGACCTGCACATGACAGAGATGCACCAATCTACCATAGGCAAGCAGCTTGGTGAGAAGGTATTAGCTGTTGGAGCAATTATTAGAAAATGTAATAAATGCAAGATTACTCGACCTGGAGCTCCATGCAAGATCTCACCTTGTGTGGTGCAAGTGATCTGGAGTACGGTGCCATGTCTCGTGAAAATCCAAAAGGGGTCAAATGAAGGCAACTGGACTTCTTTGGTTTCTTGATGCTTTGCTTCTCATCTGAGGAGCTTTGTGAATTCATACTAGAATATGGGCGGGTCAACTTATAAACTGTAGCTGTCTATTGTTGCTCATAAGCAGGTCCAGTAGCCTTTATTTGACCCTTTTTGGATTACCATGACCTGGATGACCGAGAACCTTCACCAGCACATGTCTCATGAAATTTTGGCCAAAAACCCTTCTTTCTTCAGTGAGAACATTGAAGATGAAATGTGGCTGGACCTTCCAGAAATAACAATGAACCAAACACATCACCCAGGCAACAAAGGGATGGCTCCATAAAAACCATTTGAAGGTTCTGAAACGGCCTGGCCAGTCTGCAGACCTCAATCCATTAGAATTTGTAGAGAGTTGAAAGTGTTGCCCAGCGAGCGCCCCAAAACATCATTGCTCTGGAGAAGACCTGCATGGAAGAATGGGCCAAAATACCATCCGGTCTGTCAAACCTGATGAAGACCTACAGGAATCGTTGGAACTCTGTCACTGCAACAAGGTTAAATTACATTACAGTATTAAGGTGAACTTTTCAAATACTAATCTTGTCACCATTTCACAAGTAAATTATTTATCATACAATGTAATTTCCTGGATTATTTTTTACATTCTGTCTCACAGTTGAAGAACGATGAAAATTACAGACCTCATATCTTTGTAAGCAGGGCAACTTGCACAACTGGTAGCGGCCAAATATTTTTTGCCTCACTGTATATACAGAATTATATTGTTTAAATATGGCAGAGCTTAAAGTTATCAGGTTTTTTGCCCACCCCGAGAATCTTCTGGTGGCAGCTGGCGCAGGTCGGAGCAAAGAACTGCTCATAGCAGCACACACAGTACACCTGGTTCTTCTCTTCTACAAATCCACGTTCTGCCAGGGAGGAGTGGCAGTGATCACAGTTGAATTCCTCGGGGTGCCACGACATGCCCATGGCCACGAGGAACGGGCCTCTGGCAGAAAAAAACATGAAGAGCACAAGTTCCAAACACAACATTTGAATTCTACAATACATAAAACGTTTTGCCGTTGTTCCAAAGTGCTTATTATTTATGCACTGGTGTACCTGATGACTTTGTTGCACTTGCAGCACATTGGGGTGCGGGTCCCAGCAGGGATGTGCTCAGCACGCTGCACCAGAGAGTTCAGGTCCTCTGGATGAGGCTGTGGAGTGGGACGATCCCGTCCTTTAGGAGGGGCATTTACAACCTTCCCAAACGAAGGCCCTGCTGCCACCTTAGGAACACCTGAAGCTGTTAGATAAAGAGCAAATGGATCAAAAGAATTGGCATAACAACATTTATAAAAGTCTGCTTGAATCAATGTGTTTGAAAAAGATTTGTGTTTCTTGATGCAAAGACAAATCTACGATGGATATATCTGATCCTGCAGATTATATACAGGTGCTGGCCAGTAAATTAGAATATCATCAAAAGGTTGAAAATATTTCAGTAATTCCATTCAAAACGTGAAACTTGTACATTATATTCATGCAATGCACACAGACCAATGTATTTCCAATGTTCATTACATTTAAATTTGATATTTATAGGTGACAACCAATGAAAACATCAAATCTGGTATCTCAGAAAATTAGAATATTCTAAAGGCCAATGAAAAAATGTTTGTTTCTCTAATGTTGGCCAACTGAAAAGAATGAACATGAAAAGAATGTGCATGTATAGCACTCAATACTTAGTCGGGGCTCCTTTTGCCTCAATAACTGCAGTAATGCGGCGTGGCATGGACTCGATCAGTCTGTGGCACTGCTCAGGTGTTATGAGAGCCCAGGTTGCTCTGATAGTCGTCTTCAGCTCCTCTGCATTGTTGGGTCTAGCGTATTGCATCCTCCGCTTCACAATACCCCATAGATTTTCTATGGGGTTAAGGTCAGGCGAGTTTGCTGGCCAATCAAGGACAGGGATACCATGGTCCTTGAACCAGGTGCTGGTGGTTTTGGCACTGTGTGCAGGTGCCAAGTCCTGTTGAAAGGTGAAGTCTGCATCCCCATAAAGTTGGTCAGCAGCAGGAAGCATGAAGTGCTCTAAAACTTCCTGGTAGACGGCTGCATTGACCCTGGACCTCAGGAAACAGAGTGGGCCAACACCGGCAGATGACATGGCACCCCACACCATCACTGACGGTGGAAACTTTACACTGGACCTCATGCAACGTGGATTCTGTGCTTCTCCGCTCTTCCTCCAGACTCTGGGTCCTTGATTTCCAAAGGAAATGCAGAACTTGCTTTCATCAGAAAACATAACTTTGGACCACTCAGCATCAGTCCAGTCCTTTTTGTCCTTGGCCCAGGCGAGACGCTTCTTGCGCTGTTTCTTGTTCAAGAGTGGCTTGACACACGGAATGCGACACCTGAATCCCATGTCTTTCATGAGTCTCCTCGTGGTGGTTCTTGAAGCGCTGACTCCAGCTGCAGTCCACTCTTTGTGGATCTCCCCCACATTTTTGAATGGGTTTGTCGTCACAATTCTCTGCAGGGTGCGGTTATCCCTAGAGCTTGTACACTTTTTTCTACCACATTTTTTCCGTCCCTTCGCCTGTCTGTTAATGTGCTTGGACACAGAGCTCTGCGAACAGCCAGCTTCTTTAGCAATCACCTTTTGTGTCTTGCCCTCCTTGTGCAAGGTGTCAATGATTGTCTTTTGGACAGCTGTTAAGTCAGAAGTCTTCCCCATGATTGTGGTGCCTTCAAAACAAGACTGAGGGACCTTTTAAAGGCCTTTGCAGGTGTTTTGAGTAAATCAGCTGATTAGAGTGGCAGCAGGTGTCTTCTATATTCAGCCTTTTCAGAATATTCTAATTTTTTGAGATACCAAATTTGGAGTTTTCATTAGTTGTCACTTATGAATATCAAATTTAAATGTAATGAACATTGGAAATACATTGGTCTGTGTGCATTGCATGAATATAATGTACAAGTTTCACGTTTTGAATGGAATTACTGAAATATTTTCAACCTTTTGATGATATTCTAATTTACTGGCCAGCACCTGTAATATGGTGTGATGTATGCATGTATGAAGGAGTGCAAGAATCTGCTAAATCTGACTCAAAGTATCTTTTAACACCAAACTCTTCTGAAATGCATCGGCCAGATCGTATCTTTAAATGGGTGCTTAAGGTTAAATATTCTTGCATTAATAGAAAATTAACAAACAAACAGGTCGAGGCCTGCACATTCCACCTTAATAGGCATCCTCTGTGAGACCCACGCTTGTTTATTGGAGTCAAAAGTGAGTTCATCTGATAAATACCAGCCAACAGTGAAGCGCTCTGTCCTCTGCGGCATTTCCCCAGGGAACTGCGTCGGCCACAAACAGCATCTGTTCATGTGGGGCCGTGCTCGTGCCTTAGTAGTACCGCTAATAACGACTGATGCCTTCCAGCAGATATTTACGCTGACCTGCTTGAGGTCTCGTGGCAGGGACCCGCTGCGTTTCACGAGCAGCTTTCACACAAAATAAAATCCTTAATTCGCACTTTTAAGAATCTCTTTGACTAATAGCAACCTTGGGAAAACCAGTAACTGTAACTCATTAAGCAAATACCTCCAGTTTTTATACAGCCTATAATCTTAAACAGCTTAGTGTCAGGCCTTAAACTGCTGTGTGTTAAATACAGGGAACGAGCTGCCCTCTGTTGGACAGGAGCAACAACACATTCACAAACAGCCATGATGATGGGTGAAGATGTTTCTGCACCTGGCTGCGGTCCGGGTTGGAATGAGGATTTGCTCTGGGCGGCAGGACTCTTGTACGTTGAAGCAGGAACAACATTTCCATTCTTGGGTGCTGCTGCAGACTTGGAAAACGTTTTTGCTGCGAGCGATGTGTGCACGGCAGGAGTGGTTCTGTCAACATCCTCCCTGGGAAACACATTCACTTAATAGAAACCATGACACACTGACACACACCCGTATAAAAATGTTAAAAGTCAACGTGGAATGTGGCATCTCTTGTGATTTTCTTTGAAGCTAAACATGCAAAAGTCAAAGTTACGTTTGATTACCAAAAAGCAGAAACTGAAGTTGGTTTTAATGTCACGACCTTTCAGAGACACCCATGCCAATCAGGGCTGAGCAGAAACTAAGCTTGACCTTCAATTATTTCAAAAGAAAACATAAATTATCCCAAGAATTTAAAAGTACGGACCATATGATTATTTTTATTTTATTTTCATCTAGTCCCATATGTGTTTCTCCTTAAGCAACAGTAATTTAAAGCAAGGGTCCCCGAACCTTTCAACTGCACACGATCAATAGCTATTTCAGAGTCATGTGACCCTACATATCTCTGATTTGGCAATACTAACATGCTCAAAAAGCTAAATCATGCAGGGTGTAAAGAAAACCGCTTAAGCTCACGTTCACTTATGCTTTTCTCATCATGTGGTTCAGTTCTTGAAACAATTACTCAAGAAACATGACTTCAACAGTTGTTTTTAAATTTAATGTTGATTCCTGGAAATCAACTCAAGTCCCAACGTGTAGTTTTGGTGACCCACAGTGGGGTCCCGACCCCAACTTTGGGAGCCAATGATAACATGATGAAATACACTAAATTTATCTAATGGCTGATATTAATAGGTGCATGTATGATGACTGTTTTTCAGGCTCATTTCTTTTCAGGCAAAAGAAAATAAGGAGGGCATAAAAGATGAAGAAAACAAAGCAGAGGAGAGTTTATTGAGGTAAAATGATGAAAATCAAACAAAACAACTTTGGTAAGTTTAGAAAACCAAGCAAAAAGATAAAGTTAAGCACAGAAAAGCAGAGATTAAAGAGGATTTTCTTTTATTTCATGATTTTTCTACTTCAAATAATACCAATGTAGATGTAAGCATACATCTAATTAACATAAAAGCTACATATAATATATTTTTAATGAACGAGACCATCTGGGTTTGAACATTTAACCATATAGCTTCACAAAAAGCTAATTATGACCCAAGTTAGACCAACAAAAACAAGCCGTGTACTACTGAATGTTCAGCACTCGTGCTGAAACGTCATGATGCCAGTCCCTCAGCTTGTTGTACTTGTGTCCTATAACCTCTGGGTCCAACTTGGTCGCTCTCATTTGCACGAAGAGGCAGAAAAAAAGGAACAGGAAAGAAGATGAAAGAAAAAACGTTAACAGGGAGAAACGAGGACGAGACGTGAGCAGAAAAAAAAAGGAGAAATAGAAACGTTAAGAAAGGTGGAAGTTCCACATCTGAGCTAAGATAGTTTTAGAGTTGTTGCTAAATGCATTACAACGGTAACGGAGAGCTGCCACCCACGCAAAATAAAACTAGAGCGATATCACGTTATAATGGGATAATGTTACTGTTCTAGTCATTTAATTTTCACGTTTTTAAATTATAATAATTGTTTTGTACATAAAAGATCACATTTGTACTACAAAATTAATGAATTTATTATACATACTGGAAAGATATTATATTGTAAAAACCTGAACATTTTATGGTAAGAACATGACAGTATTTTATGCAGATGACATCCAACTGTACATCTCCTTTAAGCCCCATGAGATGTCTAAGCTGCAGCTGTTACACACCTGCTTAGACTCTATCAAAACCTGGATGGCTGGGAGCTTTCTTCAGCTGAATGAAGATAAGAGTGAGATCCTCATCTGTGCCCCAGACAAGCTGGTTCCCAAAGTCAGAGACTCTCTTGGTCAGCTTGCTTCTCACACCAAACCTTCCGTCAGGAATCTTGGTGTGACCTTTGACCCAGCTCTCACCCTGGATTCTCATGTCAGTTCTCTTGTTCGCTCTTCCTTCTTCCATCTCAGGAACATTGCTAAGCTGAGTCCCATTCTGTCCCACTCTGAACTTGAGACAGTTATCCACACCTTCATCTCCTCACGCTTAGACTACTGTAACTCTCTTTTCACGTGTCTGAGCAGAACCTCCCTGAACCGTCTACAGGTGGTTCAGAATGCCTGTGCTCGGCTTCTGACCAAGTCCTCCAAACACACCCACATCACCCCGCTTCTCCTCCAGCTTCACTGGCTGCCAGTCAACCTCAGGGTTCATTTCCTGTTCACTTTCTCTCTTTTTCTTAACATTTTTTAAAATCACAATTGTCTATTTTTTGCTCATTTGAAATATATTTTAACCATTTTCTAAATTCTTTTTTATATTTTTACATTTTTTGTTTTTGTGAAGCGCCTCGTGATTTTTATCTTGATTTTCTTCTTCTTCTTGTAAAAACTGGTAAATTGTATAATTAGGACAATACAATTATTGTGCAATTATGCAATATCGCTCTAATTTTATTTTGCGTGTGGCAGCGCTACGTTTCTACCTGCTGCAGAAAGAGGAAAAATATAAAAGTATATAAAAAGTTAAAATAGCCACTTACTTCTTTTCACTGTTCTCTGGTGTTTGTTCTGTGACAAAAAGATAAAATAAATGAGCAGAGAAGCCACATGCTACCAGCATTTTAAAGTGTTCACGATCTATTTCAGAATAATATTAACAAAAGAATAACAGGTTATCAAATACTCAAAATGTGCAAACCTAAGTGCAAAATGTTTTTGGCCAAATATTCTGGGATTTTTGCCTAGTTGCCTCTAATTAAAATGAATGGATTTTTACTTTTTTCTTATGTGATTATAGTTGTAGGGTCAATGCCAAACAGGTTCACGAAGTTCTTTGCACTAAATCCTCTCACATGAAGCAATTTCAGGAGTCTTATTTTTAACATTATTGGTACTTTCCAAAATGAGCCATTTTTTAGTTCTGTCACTTTAAGAAAACAAGCTGGAGCTGACCACGCCCACTCCTCCATTGCTCAGACTGCTGTAAGCTGAGAGAGAGGGTGCTCGCTGCAGAACTACAAAGGCGGAGCTGCACCATAAGGTGGAGCTGCACCAGAGTCAGCCCCGCCCATTCACGCAAACTCAGCCTAGCCCACTGACTTCCGTTTTTGTTTTTCAACTTTATCGCAAACTAACCTGACTCTCATGAATTACGGCTGTTACTAGTTTACAGTCGTTAATGCTATGTTCTGTGCTCCAATTAAACAAGATAAATATAACTTGCTACATGACAAAGTCTGAATATATCCCGAAATGAAAAGGTTTCTTTTAGCGAATATCTGCCCACAGCCGCTCCAACAAAACTCCTGTACAACAACATTTGACATTATTATGCGAGTTCTGGTAGTCCAGTGGCAAGATTGTTTGACTTAAGTTTTGCTTTCCCCTCAGCTGATGCTGGTTCGGTTCTCGGTGGGGTCGGCAACAATCTATTTTGCCAGCTGAAACATTTAATTTGTTCATATTTTGGTTGTAATGTTCATTTTCAGCAAAAATATTTATGTCTCTACAAGTTCTTTGAATTTGGTCGTTCCTAAACAGCATTTTAGTTGAAACTCTGCTCACAAATGGACTCACACTGGCTAAATAAACGAATGAATAAATAAAAAAACACATTAGTCATTATATGTTAAACGGCATACCAATAAATTGTTGTAAACATAGTACTGGCAAGTGTAGCTAGAAATGAGGAAAAGAGATTATAGAATATTTCCACTACTGGGAGGCGAACCTGCGCAAAACTGCATGTCAACCTGACACCATAACCACTACACCACCACATCTTATAATACTTGTGTGGCGTTGCATGTCATTGTGCCATCCAGTGTGTCTTTGTAGACGGGATGTATGATTTTTCTGGCGGTGTCTCAGTAGAAGTCATTTCAGAAATAATTTGTCAGAAAATTCACAGAATATCCAGATTTGAGAACCAAGACCAGACCCGCTTCGGGGGAGGAGACCAAATTGAAGCTGAGATGGGAAGAAACTGCATGAATGAGGCCAAAAATGGCTTTGGCGTGTTTCGTATGAGGAAATGACAATATAACATGATTAAAAGTTCCAAAAGTTAGATTTTTAATTATATGGAACCTTTACAAAAACTGTTCAATTCACTTCTCAACTCCGTCCCCAATCCTGCATTTTTTAGCTATAACACCCTCTTTGGTTCCAGAATGCTATAAAGTCTGACAACTGGAAGGAATTGGACTGACTCTGATAGAATGGGCGGGGCTGATTCTGGAATGGGTGGGGCTGACTCTGGTGCAGCTCCACCTTCTGGTGCAGCTCCGCCTTTGTGGTTCTGCAGCGAGCACCACTTGAGCTGAGATGCTTCGATATCCCGGAGGGGCTAGAAGTAGAGCCGCTGCTCCTCCAAAAACAGCTCACTCTTACACCTGAGAGGTGGTTCTATTCCAAATTCTCCATTTGTGACATCACAAACAGACTTTTTGAAATGCCTCGTTTTAGGTATATAATTCCCAAAAACAGACAGTGACGGAAAACCGTTGAATGGATTTATTTCTTCACATCTAGAGTGTCAATAGAGACAGTAGAGACCCACATGGCAGTACAAAAGGATGCAAAAGGTGCGTTTTGCATTATATGTCACCTTTAAAGGTATGGAACACTGGTTTATTCAATACATTTTCAGTAGTCTCTGTTGCACCATTTACAGGAATTACAACTACAAGGGTGAGGGAGATATAGAAGGTATCTTGGATTTTAATCAATGGGTGGGAAATTGACTGTTGTGTGGTTATTTTTAATCTTGTACATCACTTTGAGTTGCTTTGATTTGACAAAGTGAGTCAGATCAGAGAAGAGCTTTAGACTCCAGGATTTGGAGGCTTACTTCCTGATATCTGGACACCTTGGGTGTTTCTCAGTGTCAAGGCGCATTGCCTTGCGTTGCGAGGCGATGTCTTGCGAGGCCAGGCGCCTTCCTTGAGGACACTGTCCTTCCTTGGTCAAAGAAAACGGTTAAATGGAACAGACTTGCATCACGTGACCGCGGCTTCCACGGCGGTCACGTAATACCACGTGACACGAGAGGTGTTATATTTTATACGTATTAGTTTCAATATACAATATAAGGAGCCTTTTTACTTTTTAAATTGTGTATAGGTTTATTAAATAAAAAATATAGGTGAGTTACTACCTGCTAGCTACCGAAGCTGCAACTACTAAGCAACTAACCAACAATAGAAAACTTCTTGTGATCTAAAAAAACATTTTAAATTAGCTGACTTACTTTTAAACTTGAAAATTGTCCCCGAAGTAGCTGCCGGCTTCTGATCCGCCGTCTTTTTGAAAATACTGCGGTGTATTGTGGGTAATTTTTGGCCAAGGCTAGGCTACAAGATACCTCCCATGTATCCTTGCTCAGCTAGCTAAATGGCTAACAAACGGAGAACACATGCCTCGGTAGAACATGAACATTGGAACCGATTAGAACATGTCTTGGCGGCTCCTGATGACGTATCTCCTAGGCAACCGGGGCGGGGCCAAGACATCAATGCAAGGGTCCTTGATATTGAGAAACACCCCTTGCCTCTGATTGGCTAACAGCTACGCGGCTCTACCACTGACTCAGTTTGCTTTGCTCCATTCAATTCAAGTCAAGTTTATTTATACAGCGCCAAATCACGACAAGAGTCGTCTCAAGGCCCTTCACATAGTAAAGATTCCAATACAGGTCAGTTCATTAAGCCAATCAGTAAAAAGTTTCGTATTTAAGGAACCCAGCAGACTGGTGTCAGTGACTTTACAGCAATCCTCATACTAAGCAAGCATTTAGCGAAAGTGGAGAGGAAAACTTCCTTTTAACAGGAAGAAACCTCCAGAGGATCCTGGCTCAGTATAAGCAGCCATCCACCACAACTCACTGGGGATTGATGTTTTATCTCCACAAATAACACAAGCCTGGAGGAGTTCTGCCGTGTGGTGCAGTTGCTAATGCTAATGGTTAGCTTCAACTAGAGGAGAAGTACCTAAAGTTGTCAGAGATTGAAAGAATTATAGCTCCAACTGACCATCAACAAGACCTAATTTTAGGTACAGACTCATTATACATTTAGATTTTGGGGGGCTTTTATTTTGGAAAGGTAAATTATAAAGTCCTCACAAAGGAGTGTAAATTCATTCTTAATCAAAAACGACTTTAAAACTATTTGTTTCAATAAACGTTTCACAACATAAAAATGTGTAGCTTACCAGAAATGTAGAAACTGTCCTGAACTCCTTTAAGCGTCGTGATTTAGTACTGGTCTGTTGGTCATTCCATTCTTACTCCAATTATAAGCTGACTTTAAAACCAAATCTAAATGCATGAGATGTCAAAGTTTTCTTCTAAATCAGATGGGAGTTTAGGTTTTACCCTTTTCAGTTCCTGTCATCTGGGCGAGGATGCGGAATGAGCGGGACTGGGAGGTGCCGGTTCGAGGGTGCCAGTCCTCCGTGTCCTCGATCAGACGCTTCTTGCTGGCATCGCTCAGAGGAGACACGTTACTCTGAGGCTCCAATGGAGGTTTCCTGTCGAGAAAATCCACACCCAGCATTAGTGATCGGAGCAGAGCACTAGTGTGTCTAGCAGGGATCAATGCAGTTATCACTGGAAAAATAGATATTCAGGTTAGAAGTATAAGAAACAACATTCTGGTTTATTACGCCAATATAGTCAAACTCTCACTGACACAAACAGTGGGAAAAAAACATGGAATAGTCTCTCCTGGAGGACTTTTGACTTTATTATCTTTTAGAAATGACACATATTTTCATTCATTTCATTGCTAAAATGTTCTGAGTGTACTATATATTTAGAAATTATGGTAAAACAAAATTTTTCCAGACAGAATAAATGAAAAAATAAGGAGTAAAAGAAAGATAATCATTTCCTTTTCTAAAAGAAATTCAAACAACTTTGGTTTTGAAAAAATATGCGCAAATTAAAAGTGCACCTTGTGAAATCTGCTGGTGCTTTTTATAAATTTTAAAACCAATCTGATAAAGTATTTTGCTTTAAATAGTGAAATTGATTCATAAACGTATTAGAGTCAAAATGAAAGAAACACCTGTTATTTTTATTCAGTTTCTGATTTAATCATTTATCTAATTTCCATAACATTTTTCACAGCTAAATTCCTTTTTTAAATTATTTTGATGGTTTACTTTACATAATTATTCTGTCATTTGTTTGTTTTCGTCCCCCATTTTATATAGATTTAAATATCTTTTTAAAATCAGAGTGAAGATTCCATTTTCTTTCAAATTGGGAGATGTGCTCGTCACAGCAACCACCACACACCGTGAATAGAGTGCATATTAAGTGTTCAATATTCATTCCAAATAAAAAGGTGCAGCTTGGAGACACAGGTAGCCGTTTGACTTGATGTTTACCTCCTGGGTTTAGCTGGAGGAGGAGTTCTGCAGGTGAGCAACGAGAAAGTTGTGAAGAACAAAAGCACAAACAATCCCAAACTCACACAATTTCAGATAAAGCTATAAAAATACTTAGTTGCGAAAAATAACTTCGATTTGTACTTTCCTAAAATGTGTGTGGCTCACAACTAAAGAGAAATAAATCCAATAATTGTGTTTCTGTCATATATAAGCAAATGAAATACATTTTGCTTTATAATGCAGGCTATTTTTGATCACTTGTGCAACCATGATGTTTTAAAATGTTAGTTAAAAAACAAAAAAAATTATCTATAAAAAATCTTAAAACAAAAAGAAATATTCAAAAAAGAATAATAAATAATTAGAACAAGAATGGTTTTTCTATAGCTCATTTTAAAATCACAAAGTGCTTCACAGGCACAGTGAAAGTTTCAAAAAGACAAAATTCAAAAAAATTCTATCTAAAAAAGATAAAATACTAATTAAGAGAAAACTAAAAATGCAAGTTACAAAAAATATGAACTGGTTAGGGTCATGTAATGATGTCATTATGTAACTGTAAGCCAAGTTTTTAAAACAGTAGATTGAAGAAAATATGATATCAACTCAATATAAATTTTAATGGATAAAAAAACATCAGCTGAAATTAAATACTGCACCACAAGAGGGCAGTAACGTTCCTTCTAAATTAGGTTGTGATTTTCAAAGGATGCAGTAATATTTATTTTAATAGTCTGTCAGAAGTCAAAGCGCAACATGCTTAATTGCGTGTGTGTGTGTGTGTGTGTGTGTGTGTGTGTGTGTGTGTGTGTGTGTGTGTCTCAGATCAGAAACATAACGTCTATAAGCAGCAGATAAGTCTTTCAGATACAGAGCGGTAAAGCTAACCGCTCACATACACTCCAGACAGGGTGAATGAACATTCCCAAACTTCAGGTGGTGTTTCAGACACTAGTTACGGGTTTGTCTGAAATCTAAAACATGTAGTTCGTGTTAGCTGATAGCAGGATGTGCTCAAAGAGGTGCAAGCATGCCTTTAATAATCCTAAACCAGAGACGGAGGAGGCTGTAATCATATTGGACATGGTTAAGCAGCTACAGCAGCAGCCATGTTATTATCAACCTGGCACTAACTTGGTATTTGTCTCTTCTTCCTCCTGTGGGCAAAAGGAAATTATTTTAGCTTAGACGAGGTAAAAAAAAAACAAAGCAACTGGAGATAATAGTCCAGAACCCCTTTCTGGGAGAATTGTATAAAGACAAAATACAGAAACCATGAAAACAAAGCATGCGGGTTGACACACAAACAACATGCTGTGCAAAAATAGTTAATTTTTGAAGCTGAAAGGGATTCCAACTTGAAAACAGCCTAAAGGTTGTAAACAAATTGTCTGGTTTTGAATTCTTGTTTGACGTTTTAAAACCAGAAAATATTCTCAAATGTGATTGAATAGATAAATGTCCACGCAACACGCATGTCCAAAAAAATAAAAATAAAAAAAAGGCCCAAAGGCAGTTTATGACCTTTGAAGCATTTTTGTGTTGCCTCCTGTCTAGAATTGTATAGATTTGAATCTCCTGCAGGCTATGGATGTAAATTGATATTAGGGATACAAGAAATAACTTCTGGGCCACTCCTTTTACGGGCCAATATTTTTTTCCCCACAACACGGCTGCTTTTATCAGTCAGTGCTTAATTACAAATGCCAGCACAGCAGTGTTTATTGGCACAGACTTGGCAGCCCCACAGGTTCAAATATGATTGGTGTGTCTGTTCTCCATTTGTTAGCCGTTTAGCTAGCTGAGCAAGGATACACGGGAGGTGGCTTGTAGCCTGGCTTTGGTCAAATTTCCCAGAATGCAGCATGGTATTTTCTAAAGGATGGTGGACCAGGAGCAGGCAGCTACTTCGGGGAAAAATTTCCCGTTTAAATGTATGTCAGCTAATTGTAATTATCGGGCTGATATTTGAATTGTTATTTTTATATCCAAAGCAGTTATCTATGGTTGGTTAGTTGCTAGTAGTTGCAGCTTCAGTAGTAATTTGCTAACATATTTAATTTAACCAATATATACTCTATTTGAAAAGTAAAAGTTTCTACCTCACGTGTCACCACAGCGGTCACATGATGTAAGTCAGTTCCATTTAACAGTTTTCTTCGACGAAGGAAGGAAAGTGGCTTCGTAAGCAAGGCGCCTGGCCTCGCAAGACATTGCCTGGCAAGGCCAGGCGCCTTGACACTGAGAAACACCTTGCGACTACTACAGACATATACCCAGGCCCAATCCCAATACTCGCACTGCATCCTGCGGTCTTCGGCAAAGAGCTCTTGCAGTAAGGCTTCAAGTGGGTGGTACACAAGTGTGCACATAACTGCCCAACTGGGGCAGGGAGCTTTGCGTCATCGACCGCAACACATGCTGTTATGCTGGTCGCTGTGCTGCTTTTTTAAAATACTTTTATTATCAACTTTTAAACAAACAGCCAAACAGTTATATCAAATAAATTTACTTTCACTGCTGCTTTGTCTAAATCATTCAGAGCATCAATTAATCGTCCTAAAATTAATTACTTTCATTTGAAAATAAACAATCTCAGAAAAGGCACTTCAGCCTTTTCTCCCACAGCAATGGATTGTGGGTAATACCCTTCGCCAACTCTGCATCAATGTGGACTTGGGTGAATTGCGGATCAAGGGTAAAAAGTGGTGTGATCTACTTCCTACCTTGAGAATCGTAACACGCTACGCACTCGAATTCCTGGTTGGGATCGCTCAATTGAAGGGTGCAAGTGTGGAAGTGCAAATTTTGGGATTGGGCCCCGGACACCCTGTGGACTGTCACTGTCTATTGGAGCTGGCGTAGCAATGGGTCACCATCTTGGATGGGTTCCCATTCATCCCCAGTGCATTAATTTCGTCTAAGGAAGGTATTTACCCAATTAAAAAACACACTTTATTATACCTTTTCACAAAATCAGACATATGGTTTGACATGATAGTTAAAATATAAATATATTTAAATAGAAGACAATAAATTCAAATATTTAATTCAAACAGGTAGGCTAGAAAAGTCAATAGTAAACCCATGTGAACTGTTTTCAATAGTGTGCCCGTTGTTGGGCAGTCTTTCCCATCCTGTGTTGACTCCAGTTGAGTTTGCAGAATGAGGAATTAATCCACGCTGTTATGCTTCCCATTACCCAATGCGGCATCTACCTATTCATTTCTATGGTGACTACGTCTCTCTTCAGACTTTTTCTAAGGGAGACAAACTAGTACGATCCAGCCGGCTGAGAAGGATGTCCGCTTCAGTGTAACAGATATCCCTTCCAACAAGATTGAGACATTAGGCCCTTTAGTGAAAATTCTTACATCTTTAAAGGATACCAAATATGAAAAACGAGCAAAAAAAAAAAAAGCATCTAAACGGATTCCAGCAACAGGTGAAGCTGAGCCTACACCTCATAAAAAAAGTTTACCGTTTAGTCATAATTACCTGAAAGCAAACCATTATATCTTTACTATTCTTTAAGCTCATTTTCCATTATGTTCCTGAAAACTATATTATCAAAAATTTAGCTCCTCCTGTTAAAAAACCAAAATCCCTTCATTTACACTAAAGGAGCTCTTGAGAAGGCAGAATCCTGCTGATTATATGGTTTTGTCCCTTTATGATGAAGAGTTATACTGATGAGGAGGAAACCTTGAAGAAATTATGACATTGAATTTTTCACATAAGTGAAAACCATTCTAAATGTATAAAAAAATTTCAATCTGCCTAAATAACTTCCCTCAGCTACTACGTAATAACAAGCCCATCTATCCCTGGTCTCTTAGCACATGGGCATTTGGTATGATTATAGACACACGCTGCATCATCAGCGGCTCCTCAGAGTTTAAGGTTGTGGCATCATTTGGGATGTTGTCTGAATTCTGCTTCCTCTGCAGCTGCCATGAGCAGAATTTACTCTTGTTTTTTTTTATTCATCTGCAGCAGAAAATAAAGATAATAAAAGGTACTTTGCCTTTTTTCAAATGTTTCCAACAAAAAGCACAAAAATCTTTGATATCACTCAGCCTTTATAAACTGCGACCTCTGGGTCTGTTTGCCAATAAAAAAATATTCATGAATAAATAAACGTTTGGTTGGGTGAGTGGTACCTACCCATTAACATGCTCTGAAAGTCCCTGGCTTTCCAAAAGGCCTCTCCTCTGCCCCATAGCTACTTCACAAGCATTGGTGTTTGAATACAGGTTGATGGGAGTGTTATAGACGGAGGGCTGTGGGACATTAGGATGGGAGGGGGGGTTGGACACTTTGGCTGAAGTAGAGGAGGAGTTAGACGAGGTGGAGGAGGCAGACGGGGTGGTGAAGGCGGAGTGGCTGGGACTGATTTTGGGAGCTGAATTTACAGGAGCAGAGCTCTGGGCAGGAAGGCTCGACCTCAGCAGGAACGGAGGCTGTGGTGGTTGAGAGGGGGCAGCTGGGGTGAAAGCTGATGACTCAGAAGGAATACAGGCAACTTTGGGAGCAGCAGGGGAGGACGAAGCTGTGACCGCGTTGTTATTGCTGCTGCTGCACCCCCCAAATGGCCGAGCAGTCTTGTTGTATGCAGGACTGGGCTGATTTACTGGCTGGGTGTGTGCAGTGCTGGGCGCGGGGTGTGTGATTGGGACAGGCTTTATGATCTCTTGAGGCTGTTCCTGAAGGATGGTGAAAACAAAACATGCACAAACAGCAAACCCACAAAAAATATCCCATGCATGTAAACGATAATTCACACGAGCACAGCACAAGCACATACAAGTGTTCCCACACTGCTGCATGGTTAAAAGTGATGACTCTGATATGAGCTTAAAGGTGCTCTAGAATTAGGCTTTTCAGGCCATTTACACATGCTAATCCAATTTAGGATTTGGCATAATCTCAGACGAATGCTAAACACACAGTAATAAGTAGATGATCCAGAAGCGTTTTAAGTAAATATTTAGCTACTTACCTTATGGACGTCAACCTTTGAGACAGCAGAGGGTCTGTAAGACACAAAAAGAAGCTTAAAACTCACTGAACTAAAACTCAAATATCCTCACATTATCCTTAAGAGTGAGCCCAGCCATCCTGCAAAGGGAATAATGTTCACCTGCTTGTATCTACGATCTCATCTTCTCAATCATGAACATAGGTGAGAACTTAAATGTAGATGGACCGGTAAATTGGGAGCACTTACTTTCAGCTGAGCTCCCTTTTCACCACCACAGAATGGAGCAATGTTATCCTCATTCTATCATGAACATAGTGCCAAGGCACCTGAACTATTCTGCTTTAAGTTGGGGTGCATATTTTGAAATGTTTAAAGTAACTTAAAAATGCTTGAATTTGAATATCTAGCCCTGTTCTATGAAAAGGTAGGCCCCTAAGTCCCACCCCTGGCCTCTACAGCAAATCAAATTCTTTACTGAAGCCTAGAGCTTTGATCAATAGAACTGCATATCTATAGGAGGGAGCAGTCAATCAGCAGACCGTGCCCCAGACCCCAGTATGCACTAAGGAAGGAAACTGGAAGCTTGCAACGGAGCAACCAGAACAAGTACTGAGGTTACAGGTTCCTCTACTGCCTTCTAATCGGACAGTCAAGAAGAATTTACTTTGGGGACGCTTTTAAATGATGGAAGGTCACTAATGATCTATAAAAGCTCAAGAGTTTGGCAGTTTCTTTTGGACACAAAGTAACTTGTCCAACAAACCAACTTTTTTTTTGTATTTTAGAGAATTGTAACCAAAATTTTATTTACATAAAAAAATAATAGTGCAGATAATTGTTTTGTGTTTCGTTAAGGGTTAGGCTAATATGGAGCTAGCTTCAATGCTAACCTAAACTTCATTAAATGAAGGTCAGTCTGTAAAATTCAAGCTATGGAAGAGGAGGGAGGGAAACAAAAAGGGATTTATCTTTTGTGTATTGGAGCTAACTGATAAGCGTAACGTTCAACGTCTCATTACACCGGACTATTGTTTAGCTCTCTCTGTTGACTCCGCCTTCCCTGTCATGAGAGGTATGAGACATGGCTTCCATCTCCTTCCAGAAGGGGAGGGGGAGCAGGAGCTATAGATGTTCAAATTTTTTAAATCTCCTTGTCCTTTCCCTGATGACATCACACTATGGACAACAGCGTTGAGGCAGAAATGCACTTCTAGGCCGTCAGGTGAACCCCGTTTTTGTTTCATCTCGTTCCGACCTCTGCGTGTTTCAGCTCCACGTTTCCATAAAAATCATTATTTTCCCCAAATTAAGACGTTTTAAGGTATTTAATTCATATTGCTTGTTGGGTCGGTCACCGAGTACACCGCCATGTTGGATTTCGGTTTACTATATGCGTGCACCGCATTGGTTCAAAACGGTCACGTGACAGCCGCTTCACTACTTTTTCGTTCCGCTCAAAACAAACTAGTCCCAAATTAAAACAACGATCGTAACAAACAGGGCAACATTTCCCAGGAGAACTTTTCCTTTTGAAACCTGTACGAGCGTACTATTTTTATGAAGCAAAGAGCAAGTAGTCTCAAGAGGTTGGAATGAGATTAAATTTCTAAACACATTTTCTCTGTTCACCTTGCGGCATATTCCCACCTGGAGTGAGCATTCCACCTTTTCCAGTTCTGTAAGTTGACTCTGGTCACTTAACACCCAGCAGCAAACCAACTCGATGACCTTTGAAGGTTGTGGTTTGAAGACACCAACAAAACCACAACATCTGCCAAAAGCCGCGATGAGACCCTGAGATTCCTAAACCAGATGCTCTCCCGTCCATGACAAAACCTTGAGATCCTGTCCATGAACAACACAAAAAGGTGGAGTCCAACCCGTACTGAGCTTGAGCCTGTTCCAAGAATGCAGAAACAGCTCTTGCTTTGGTTGTACAGGGACCCAAATGCCACAAAACAAGTGAACTACACAACCAAATTCTATTTGTCAACAAATTAATGCGATGTGTAAGTATGGAGTTAAAGGAGGATTAACCACTGAGAAACACTATAGTTTAGCTGTTAGGAACAGTGTTAAAGTACACATCGGAGTTATGACTCCAGCAGCTGCTGCCGTTTTAACCCAAGTGGGAGAAAACTACTTTTCCCCATCTCATCTTCCTCTTGAGATGCTCAGAAAACTGAAAAAAATAAATAAACAAACACTTTCGGTTTTAATCTTTCTATGTTAAAGCACTGCTTAGTACAGCCTTCCTATTACAATGCCTTGTCCGCAGCACTATAAACACTGTTGAATAGAAAAAGGCCCCATCTGGCTCATGATGGTTGGGTCAGCAAAGCTCTCAACAGCACATGGTTTATATTTGGTGCTGACATGAGAGATAATGTGTCTCTCACTCCTTATCAAAACAAAATAGAACAAAAGCTAAAACAAACAGACACGAGTCAGAAAGGCGTTTCAGGACCAGGCCCTTTGCTACATCCCCGGGCTCACTTCCTGTTTCTGCTTGCTGCCTATCAGAAAAACGGTCAACAAACTCACACATTTCCTTTCTGACCGAGCTGGAGCGCAGTGATGGAGCCCAGAACCAGGTTGTTAAACAACCCCGCCCTGCTGCATGACCTGATGTCACTGATAACCATCATTTACAATTTTCCACTTAATAGCTAATATACAGGCAACCCGTTTTCCGCTGAGCTGCCCTGGTGTATTATTGGAACTGCTCATGGAAAGACACCAGTCCAGTGACAGGAGGAACAATAAAAGGTCTAAAGATCAAACATTCTGAAGCAATCCCAGTTTATGTAAGCACCTATCTGTGTCCCAGACTGGGGTGGATTGTCTCGGTGTGTTTTCCCAGAGCTAACCGGGCAAACACTCGACAGGGTGGTCCTCTGAAGATCTGCTCTGCTCCAGGTCACTGCTGTCCTGCTCTCTGAGGAGCCAAACCCACATTGGTTCAGCCATCATAAACAGACAAACACTAACATCCGCCTCGGTTTGATGTTAGAGTATAAATGTTAACTGATTCAGATATCATTTGATCTGGTCCATCATGATGAACAAATGCTTTTTTTTTGGTAGCTGTGTGGATTGTTTTTCAGCCGGAAGTCGATGTCTGTTCAGAAGAATTAATGAGAAAAACTATGACAGGACACAGGAGAATTCAAGGAAATTATAATATACATATAGTGATGCTTAACATTTCCAAATGAGAAGCTCTCTATCTGGCAACTATGTGGAGCATGTCATAATGTGTTTAAGTATTCTGCTGCTGATGAAGAAACAGACCAGTCAGAGCATGCCTGAATCCTCTGGATGATTCATTTTATGAAATCGAAGATCTACAGGAAAGGTTGGAAGTTTAAGTTTATGTTATTTTGTGCTAAACTGAAAAAGCTTGAGTGAGAAGCCAAACACCCCCAAAAAAGTAAAGTAAAAGACAAAAGTCCTGCTGCTTTTGATTTTATTTGTTAGGAAATATGCAAACTTCATTTGTGAACTTGATAAAAGAATGCACAAGTGTTTACTCTGTTGTATATGTAGTAGATTTAGACATGAGTAATTTTTTTATTTGTAATTGCTGGTAACTTCATGAGAAAACACTATTAAAGAGGTCCTTCACTCATATTTTTAATACATTTGCAAAAATCTCTAGCAGGAAGGAATGCCTTGTCAGTCGTACTCTGGGGAACAAAAGCTCTGGTGCATCTGTTTGAAGATGGAGAATTCAGCCAGAGAGAAAGTTGCTTCAAACAACAGAATTCGATTGTTTTGGACATCTCACCTCTGACTGGATAACAGCAACATGACTCTACCTCTGACTGTTTGCTTTGCAACTTGGGTTTTATATCAAAGAACACAAGCCTGAAGGAGTTCCGCCATGTGGTGGAGTTACTAATGCTACCAGTTATCCTATAGTAGAGACATTCTCTTCTTTTTCCTGGATGCTGAACCAACAAGAGCCTTCCTTGTTGCAAGTCAAGATGGGCGAGTCCATGAATGTTAAATGGGAACTAAGCAGTTTTGGTTTGCTTTTAGCACCCCCTAGTGTTCGTCTGTAGAACCAAGAGCAAAACGTCCTCACTGTGTTTGTCTTTTTAACACCTTAATCTTGCAGCTGAAATGCCTCCCAGCTGTCTACAGGAGTCATTCATCACTTAATTAAACGAATCAGTTGTGTTCATGATCTAAATCAGTGGTTCCCAACCTTTTTCCCAAGGGACCCCGTTTTTTACCAGTATAATTTTTGACGACCCCCTCCCATTATCTCTTCCAGTACAAACAGTATTAAGAAATGATAAAATTGTTCAAGCACATTTTAATATGCTTTGATTCAATAGATAACAGTAATAGTAGGCTCCAGTACCGAACAAAGTCATTAACAAAATCAAACAGAGCATAATGTGCTTGACAGTTTGTATTACTTTTCTGGTCACATCATTTCTTGTAAACACTGATATATCAATCATTCCTTTCAATAAACGTTTGACACATAAAAAATACACTGAGCAAAATGTACTTAAATGTGTATATTACTGTTTATACTAGATTATTTACTGTAAAGGCTGATTAATCAACCAGTCCTATCTTTAATGAACTTTTGACACTTGAAAATAAAACAGTGAGCTGAGCAAAATGTTCTTAAGTGTGTTACTTTTTCTGTACTAATTATGTCCTGTCTTAATATCAGTAAACTTTTCACTCATGAAAAAATATGAGCAAAATGTAGGCTATAAACAAGTAATAAATGAAGTTTTAACCCCTTAAAGTGGAGAGGTCCTGGCGACCCACTGAGAGGCTTTGGCGCCCCCTTGTGGGGGTCGGGACCCCCAGGTTAGGAACCACTGTCCTACAACATGCAGGAAACGTGTTGGAAGCAGACTGCAGCGCCAGGTATGTCAGCTCCCAACAGAGTGGCCAGTTAGTCTTAAGTTGCAAGTGGAATATTCTGGCCACAGAGGCGATAGGGGCTGGGTGGCTTTCATTAACCCTGTAAAGCTCATACTGACTCAAGAAAATGATTTAAAATAATGAAAAGGTTACAAA